CTATTCATAGTAACTCTTTTAGTATTTTTTTACAGCATTTTTGCAGATTATCCTAACAAATATTCATTTCTTAATTTTTAACTAATCTTATTCTAAAAGAGTTGTGTAAAAGTATGAGACCATGGCATACAAAATTGAATAAGAAGACTATGAACTAACCAGTACGGCTATCCCCAGCACGAAGCCATGGTAAGAGTTACAGGACTTGCCAATCGATTCCATTTGATAAAACCTGCAAATAATCAGAATACTTTGAAGAACACCTTATGTATCAATGTATGGAATCTACAATTTATAAACAACAACAGTTTTCCCGATTCTACATTAACAATTAAGGACAGTTCAACATATAAGGGGTTTTTAAGGTTTCGTTGATTTAATTACAAAAAGTTCAAACATACTGAGGACAAACTTCTTACAAAAACAAATACATCGTAATGTTAGAATCAACAAACTATTTAAAAAAACAAAAATCATTTACCAACCATGCCCAATTTTGCTGAATTACAAAGTTACACAAATGTTTTTGGAGTTTCGTAAGAACACAATTAAAATTACCCACAAAAGTTCATAAACAAAATATTCTTAATCGGCTATTGAAATGTTATAATTTTACTCATGGTTCAACTTAACACATGATACACAAGGCAATTAACCAAGAAGATAAAAGTAAATCAAACAGTAACTAACCTAAACAATGCAAAATTCAGAGTATACATGGTAACTATCAATCACGTTTCGCTCAACCGTCCAAATCTGGGTTCAATTTCTGACATCTATGCCTTCAATTGCCCAAATTAGATCTCCATTGTACCTCCATAGGATTGCATTGGATGAAAGCAAACAACGATTACTATAAGTTGAATCGTTGTGTTGATTCTTAAAGTAAGTATGGAAATATAGATGGAAAATACCGAGATCCAAACAACCCCCCAAAAAAATGGTCATGAGATTCTGCGGTGTTCTTTAGCTAGCAGCAAAGAGACGAGAGGTCCAAAAAAAAACATAGCCGATTACTTTTGTTTATTTACTTCATTTTTTTTTTTTGGTAGAGTTGTTTCATTTATTGTATTGGTTTGTGGTTAATCTTTTTTTGAGCAATTCTTTTTTTTTTTTTTTGAGCAAGGTTTGTGGTTTATCTATTTAACTTATTTGTTGACTGAATGTATGTGTTAACCGGATTGGTTTTGCAGATTCTGAACAATACTATTTTTTTTATAGACACAGCATAGTCTTTCCCTTCTTAACATTAC